AAATAAACCCACTTGCTAGGATCCAAACCTTTGCCTAAACAGTTTTCTTACTCACACCAGGTTGCCATGATCTCTAGCCTCACAAGGTAGGCGCCTCAACTTCCACAGGCTCCGATAGCGCTTTACCCTGCCTTCCTTCTTTTTCTAGCCCACTAAAACTTTTACAAGTATTCTTTGGAGAGCTTTCTCCCCTGCAGTGTGTATTCCTGTGGATTTCCCATGCCTCTGCTGACTTGTATGTCGTTGGGGCTTCCAGTATTTAGGATCCACATTCTCTGTGTCTATTCAAGATTCAGCTGCCTCCCCTGTGTGTCTGGGGAAAATCTGTGTTTCTCTTTGTTTGGTCACATTCTTTAAAGCTTCGTGTCTGAGTGTCTCCATGGGGTTATGACACACTGTGACCCGTGGTGTCTAGGTAGCCCACATTGAAAATGCCAAGAACAGGGCAGATGGCAAAAAGGAGAGATTCTTCCCAAGAGAACAGATTCTCCCAAAACTTATGGTTAACACAGATGTTAGATTCACCAGCCAGTCACAAACTGCTCCTGATTCCTCTGGGCTGGTTATCAAGAAACTGAAAAAAAGAAAACACACAGCCCCCTTGATTGTCCCCACCCCGATTGTCACATATCCCTTTAGATCAAGATAGGTGGAGACAACAGAAGCTACCACCCAAAGCACTCCGTCACCAGGAAAGCCTGAACTAAATAAAGAACAAATCATGTCAAACCAATCTGATGGCTTTCTTTGATAGGATAACGAGTCTTGTAGATAAAGGAGAAGCGGTGGATGTGGTATACCTAGACTTTAGTAAGGCATTTCATACGGTCTCACATGACATTCTTATCAATAAACTAGGGAAATACAACTTAGATGGGGCTACTATAAGGTGGGTTCATAACTGGCTGGATAACCATACTCAGAGAGTAGTTATTAATGGTTCACAATCCTGCTGGAAAGGTATAACTAATGGGGTTCCGCAGGAGTCTGTTCTGGGACCGGCTCTGTTCAATATCTTCATCAACGATTTAGATATTGGCATAGAAAGGACATTTATTAAGTTTGCAGATGATACCAAGCTGGGAAGAGTTGCAACTGCTCTGGAGGATAGGGTCAAAATTCAAAATGATCTGGAAAAATTGGAGAAATGGTCTGAGGTAAACAGGATGAAGTTTAATAAAGACAAATGCAAAGTGTTCTACTTAGGAATGAACAATCAGTTTCACATATACAGAATGGGAAGCGACTGTCTAGGAAGGAGTACAGCAGAAAGGGATTTAGGGGTTATAGTGGACCACAAGCTGAATATGAGTCAGCAGTGTGATGCTGTTGCAAAAAAAGAAAACATGATTCTGGAATGCATTAACAGGTGTGTTGTGAGCAAGACACGAGAAGTCATTCTTCCGCTCTACTCTGCACTAGTTAGGCCTCAGTTGGAGTATTTTGTCCAGTTCTGGGCACCGCATTTCAAGAAAGATATGGACAAATTGGAGAGGATCCAGAGAAGAGCAACAAGAATGATTAGAGGTTTAGAGAACATGACCTATGAAGAAAGGCTGAAAGAATTGGGTTTGTTTAGTTTAGAAAAGAGAAGACTGAGGGGGGACATGATAGCCTGTTTCAGGTATCTAAAAGGGTGTCATAAGGAGGAGGGAGAAAACTTGTTCATCCTGGCCTCTGAGAATAGAACAAAAAGCAATGGGCTTAAACTGCAGCAAGGGAGGTTTAGGTTGGACATTAGGGAAAAGTTCCTAACTGTCATGGTGGTTGAACACTGGAATAAATTGCCCAGGGAGGTTGTGGAATCCCCATCTCTGGAGATATTTAAGAGTAGGTTTGATAAATGTCTATCAGGGATGGTCTAGACAGTATTTGGTCCTGCCATGGGAGCAGGGGACTGGACTTGATGACTTCTCGAGGTCCCTTTCTGTCCTACTATTCTATGATTCTATGATAAGTTAAGCTATATAGTTTGACAGGCTCCTCTAGCAGCACATGCAGGGGTTAGGGGATTGCTTGGCAAACTCTGTGAAAGGCAGTAAGGTGGCAGACAGCAAGGGTGTGTCTAGACTACAGGGTTTTTTCAAAACCAGTGGCCTTTTTTAGAAAAAACTGTTCCTGCATCTAGACTACAGCCGCGTTCTGCCAGCAGTAAACCGAAAGAACGAGGCAGTTTTGTCGACGGCAGAAAACCTCATTCTAGGAGGAATAATGCCTTTTTTTGAAAGTTCTCTTTCGAATAAAGGCCCTATTGCAGGAAAACAGGGCTTTTTCAAAAGAGCATCTAGACTCTCTTTCGAAAACGCAAGCCGCTTTTTTGAAAAATCTTGTTGTCTAGACGCTCTTTTTTGAAAGAGACTTTCTCAAAAGATACTTTCCAAAAAGCCTCTTTCGAAAGAGGCTTGCAGTCTAGATGTAGCCCAAAAGAAGTTGTTGTGAGCATGGCCTAGAGGAGCAGAGTTCTCTGGGGCACAGGACCAGCTGGAGAGGCAGGTTTGGGATTTCTGGGCAAGGAAAGGGGCTGCTGCTGTTTGTTCCTGCTGGTGCAGGGGCACCGGACTGTGTATTTAGTCAGTAAATAGACCAGACTGCAGCAAGGAAATACAATTGCAAAGGGCCCAACACAGCCCCAAATATTGGGGGTGGAGCAAACTCTGGGATAAACCTGGTCTCCTGGGACTTCTGATCTCCTGCCTGCAGCTGCAGTTACCAACAGGCACTAATAGACCATCCCATGGGCTGAACTGCCTTTTCATTGCTTGGTTAACAGCCCCCCTCCCCCTCCACTCCTCATATCCTGGGATCTGATTCTGAGAAACACACTTCTTTGACCCAAACCCACATTCCACACACACACGCCATAAGCCCACCGCAGCCTGCCTCTCTCCATCACTGGTTGCTAAGCAGCACGTTTTTCCTCCCCCTTTTCTGCCACTGATCTCAGCCCAGACCAGTGTATTCCCTGGGCCAGGCCACTCCTTGGTTTAACCCCATGCCAGTCACCTGGAGCCATCCCCGCCAGCGCCTCAAACCTCCCTGCCACGACTTGGCCTCAGGCTTTGTAGCCAGGCAGCATTTGCAGCCACCGTTTCCATCTCCCTGGCTCAGCAGTTTTGTCTAACCACAAGCCTGTTGTGTAACCCGGGCAGAGCCGGGCGCCTCCCTCCGGCCCCCAAGGGAACAGAGTGGGCAGCAGATTGGCCCTCCCCACCCACTGCTCTGGATACTGTTCAGCCATCCTGAGAGATGCCCACTGCCCCTAAGAGCTTAGGGTGAGTGGTCACCAACCAGCCGATTGGGCTCTACTGGTAGATCTTGGCGCCTCTGACAGGGGATCCTGACCGGTTTGGCCAAGACCCTATCAAGTGCGGGCACTTCAACTACCCCTCCTCCTACTACTGCGCCCCTCCTGCCCTTTGCCTTGGAGCTGCCCCCCCCTCTATGCCCAGAGCCTCCCCCTTGCTGTGTGGGGCACAGGAGGGAGAAGAGGGGCCCCGATGTCAAGCTGCCCCCTCTCCCACCCTGAATCCTATCTCCATAGAGCAGACAGGGGGCACAGCAGCACTGGGGATGGGGGGAGTTTGCTGGCTGCTTTTGGGAGTGGTGCAGGGCCAGGACAGGGTGAGGCTGCCTTAGCCCCACTGCACCCCCCCCCAGGAGCCACTGAGGT